CAGATCCAGATGAAGTTAAGCCCCACCCACACCTGCTTTCCTCAGGTACCACATGGCTCCTCACTAGGCATACTGGTTCCCACCTGGCCCAGCTCAAGGGCCCACCTGGACTCCTCACTGCTCCTAATCAGGAATTGGTGGATTTAATCTTCGTCAGCAAAGAGAGCTCAGCTTCTTCCTGCAGGGTGATGCCCCTCATGTCTGAGAATCCAGCTGTGCCTCCAATAAGCCTACAACCTGCCCAGACCCAGCCTTCAGTTCTCTTCTCATCCAGAGTGTAAGCTTTTCTCTAGCCCCTTGGAGGTGGAAGCCTGCTGGAGGCCCCACCTGGCCTTTGGGGAAGATTCAGATTGTCTTCAGAGCCTCCCCCCACCCAAACACCCTTAATGGCAGAAGGGTTCTAGGCTGGGCTGAGCCCCACCACTCCTAGTGGGGAATTCATTTGGGTCTCATCTACTTCTTGTTGGAGCCCGTGGGCTGCCCTCTCTCCCATTTCTCCATGGACACCACCTCAATTCCATGTAAGGTAAGAATCCCAAGAGGAGATTGGAGAGGTTCTTATAAGGAAGTCTGCCTCATCATTTCTTTTCTGGAGTGAGACCTTGCAATACCTGCATAGCTGGAAAGAGCCCCTTGGGCTTCTTGCCAGAGGCCCAAGATCTCTCCAAGGAGCAGGGGCCTTCAGCCCTCCCTGCCAGCATTCAGGTGAGGGCTATTGTAGGTGGTAGGCATGGTGCTGAGGTAAAGGAAGGTCCTCTTCCTTTTCTTAGTTAAATCTAAGCTTCTTTAAGGTCTTAGCTCAGGTTGCCACTCAAGGAAACACTCTGTGACTTTAGGTCTCAGTCAAGCTCCTTTATGTCACACCCTCAGTAGTGTGCTGGGTCTTGACAGCATTTAGCTCTACTTGCCATGGAATCCCTCAAGGCCCTCCTCTATGTGCTCTGAGGACATGGACTGTCTGTTTCTGCTCACATGCAGCATTCCCAGCACAACGTGGAGGGTTTGGCATGTGGAAGGTTCTAATCTTGGTGGCCAGCCTCAGACTTAGTAAAGGGCAGGTAGTTAACAGGAGGGAAGGGTGTTCCAGGAAGGAGGTACACAAGTGGTTTGCATGCAAAAATTTGGAGAAGATGGTTTCAAGAGGGACAGTAGGAGAGAATGAAACCCACGGTGGGCAGGGAACCCTAGTCCAGAAGGAATTGACTGCTGAGGAATTCGGATTTTTGTCCTGAAACCTAGGGAGTTCTCTGGAGGTTTCTCATCCCTCTCCTGCCCAGGCGTGAGTTTCGTAAAAGGCATTTGTTGTCGCATTGGAGGCCAGGCTGGAGTGAGACTAGAAACAAGAAGGGATCTAAAGCTGGACAGGAGGGTTTCTGGCAGGGTCATGAGACTCCTATAAAGGGAGGGTCTGAGGACTTACTAACGGCTTTATGAGTGAGGGGTTGAGCATCTCTTTCAGTCTCTCCTCCGTAACCTGCCTTCACTGTAGAATTGGAGGTCTAGAATTGGACTGTATATAGGAATTATTTAATGATTGGGGCCTAAAGAATTAAGCTAAAAAAGGTTAGTGACAAGGGAACATAGTATAATTATAGGTTCTGTTCCATTCTTCCTAGTGAGAGCTGGGGATATGGCATTAAATCAATGCCGGAAACAGAACAGATCTTACAAGAAATCACTTTTTTTTAAAAAATAAAGATTTGGTGTCCATCTTATGCAGACATCCGAGTTCTAACAGTTCCTGAGAAAGCAGACCCGAAGGCATTCTTCCCTGGGAGACGGACTGTGGGAGTCCACAGGACTTGGGTGCTTTAGCTGATGTGCAGTCAGAAGCTGTGGAAGTGGGCATGGTCCAGGTAGGACTGTAAGATGCTGGGAGAAGGCACATTTCTGGCCTTGTTCATGGATGTAAAGCAGCATTCGGTGGTAGAGAAAATAAAGGCTGACCTAAGGTGGCTTTTCTGAGCTGTTCACCACAAAGAAAATTTCACATTGACTGAGGTCAGGAGAATGTGTTGAAATGGAACCTTGAGGCTTATTAGCTTACCAGAGATAAGAGGGCTGAAGAGGAGACAGTTCTCTTGGTTCACACTACGAAGCCAGAGCCTGCTGAGGACCACCCTTTGCTCTATGGGAGAGGGAATTCTGTATGTGGAGGAAACAGCAGACAAAAAGGGAATCTGTGCCTCCAGAAAGCCTCTTCCAGGTCACCTGGACCCCCTTTTATCTTTATGAGCCCTGCAAGGTGCTAAGTGGAATTGTCAACCAGAAGGCTTAGACTAACTCTGGATCCAAGTAGGTCAGGACAACAGAAAAGGTTAGGAAGGCCTAAGTATCAACCTCAGTAGGTAGGATAGCTATGGAGGAATGAGCCTCCCTGTTCTTTATAAAGATTTTATTTATTTATTTTTAGAGAGATGGGAAGGGGAGAGAAAGAGAGGGAGAAAAACATTGTGCGCAAGAGATAAATTGATCAGTTGCCTCTCCCACGTCCCAACTGGGGACCTGGCCCACATCCCAGGCATGTGCCATGACTGGGAACTGAAACAGTAACCTTTTGGTTCATAGGCCAGCATTCAATCCACTGAGCCATACCAGCCAGGGCCCCAGATCCTTTAATACAGATCCCTGAGGTGTCCATTTTCCCCCTTTGGGAGAGTGAGAGGTGGGGCAGAAAGTGTTAACGTAAAGGCCATTTCTTTCCTTCTTTGCAAGTGTGATGATAACAGGAGCCTTGTTGCTATACTTTTCACAAGCTGAGATGAGCCATTTTTTTCCAAGCACAGATTTCTCATGCTGTACCTCTGAGGATGCTCTGGTTTGCTGGCCAAGACTATCATTAAAAGTGTAATATATCACCACTTTTAGCTCTCACGGTCTCCTTCAGCCTGCTCCTCCTCCACCTCCCTTCTCTCATTAACGCTGCCATCACAAACTGCTTTCCCTTCTAGGGCTCCAAGACCTCCTCTTCTTCCTCTGTCAGGATTTGCTGTGACGTAAAAAAGGCAAGAACCCACTTACCTGCCTAAGACTAGGTTTTGTCTCACACCCCATTTTCAAAATGTCAGGCACCAAATAAAACCTTATTTATGCTTACATCCTTTCTATTTTGAGGACTGAGCCCCAGCTTTTTGGGGGAAGGGAGTAGTATAATTTTGTTTAGCTAGTTTCCATTAGTTTCTCCCTTATCGTATCCCCCACAGGTGAAACTGGCTCAAGGCGGTTTTGGTTAGATTTTTTAAAAATAGAAGAAAGTCTTCTTTTAAATATTTTCTTTTATGCCTAAAGATATCACCCTGTAGCCTCCCTCTCCTGATTGGGAAAAGAACTTGTCTTAGTTCTTTTCATCTTTGGACTCGCTGCTACTCTTTAGAGCCCTAGGAAGGAATAGAATTCAACCCGCCTTTCCACATAACTATATAGTTCAATATGATTCGATAGCGACTAGCCCTGCATAGCCATTTAAAATCAATTAAAATTGCAGTTCCTGAGTTTCACTAGCCACATTTCAAGAGCTCAAAAGTCATATGTAGCTAGTGATACCTACTGTGCTGAGAGCACAGACTTAGTGCACAGCCGTTGGTGCAGAAAGTACCTTTAGACCTGGTGTGGAGGATTCATATCCCTGACACCCCCTCTTTGTAATCCCACTTTATCGGTCAGTAAATATTTGTAACCACTTCACCGTTAAAGGATAACTTTCAGAGAGGGTCCGGGATTCAAGGTGGGAAATAACAGGGAATCTGCAGGTCTCATAAAAGTTTCAGGAGGCATGGCATGGTGGCCAGAGGTTGATGGCCAATAGCAGGGCATTCTTAGCTTTTAAGGAAGTACTTTATCGGCTGCTGTTAATGTGTACCATCCCAGAGCCACCCACAGACTCCGATGCTTCTAATGTGTTGGTTCTGCACAATAATTAAAAAATGAAATAAGACTGTCCCTTGCTGAAAGTGATCTTTTTTTATTACTTATCATTTCCAGGTCTTGATTTCATATTCTGCTTTGTCATAGTCCTGTTCTCCCAACTCTCAGTGACATAGGCAGCTCAAATGTTTAAGAAAGGTTTACTGACCATGCCACCTACACGCCAAGAGCTGGGAGAAGTCTGGGTCCTATCAGTTAACCTGCTGAAGTTAAGACTACATTTAGTCAGGTACCAACTAGGTATGGCTATTCTTCCACTGAACACTTTGGAACACCTATGCCAGGCACTGGCTGTAGGGCCCAAGTGAGTCTGGTAATGGCATATGTGTGGATATGACTGGTTCCCTGAGTCTAAACCAGTGGTTCTCAACCAGGGATTACCTTGTTTCCTCCCTCCCTCGACATCTCATCTGGTCATGTCTAGTGACATCTGTTGTCACAACCAGTGGAGAAGTGCTAGTGGGTAGACTCCAGAGATACTGCTAAGCGTTCTAAAATGCATAGCCCCCCCTCCCGCCACCCAAGAATGACCACACTCAAAATGTCAATAGTGCTGAGGTTGAGAAACTGGTCTAGACCACAGCATGGATCAGTTTTCCATGCCAAGTCTAACGATGAGGTCCAGGTTGGATAGGATGGTAAGGCTAGCCAAGTGTCTGAGAAACTGGGAAGGAAAAAACTGGGAGTCTGTGGAACAGTGGCCTCCCGCTGAAGGGCAGGTATAACTGGAGTGTGTTTAGCTGCACCAGAAGGCTAAGAGCCAAGGTTGTAGTGCAGTTGGAGTTGGGGATTTCACATGTGTAGCAAGTCCGTGTGAAGAGGAGGTCCTGGGTACAGCCACAGGAGTAAAGAGTTAGTTCAAGCAGTCTGACTTGTGATACAGCGGCCAACAGCTGGACCTAGCAGGGAAGACATTCAGTAAACAGGCGGGCATCTGGCGGATGCGGGTATACTAATTTTTCTCAAAATTTTTGTAACCCATACCTCTACTTTTCACATCTAAAAATCTTATATTCTTTAGTGATATTTAAATTTTCAAAACGAAGTATCACAACTAAAATGAAATAAAAATATGGTAATTTTGGAAGGCAAAACTTTATTCAGGTGTTGCGGTAACCATTCACAGTTAAACCTAAATTTTTTTTCCTGGGTGGTATAAAAGATTCAACACAATGCTAGCTTTTTAAACAACACCCTTGCACTGTTTTATCCCCAAGCTAGATATGGCGGCGGGGGTGGGGTGGGGGGAGCTTTTAAAATGTAAGGAGGAAATGGAATAATGAGTGGAATGAAGTCTTCTGTGTTTAGACACCTTACATCATAACGTGGGAACATTATGGTAAAATCGCGTGTGCTTATTGTAAAAATCCAAACCACTGAAAAGAACAGGAAGGAAAATAGGGACTGGGTTGTTTCCCCTCCCACCGCTTGTCCCTGTAAGCCCCTTCCAGGTACACAAGGACACCCTCACACCACACTCACCTGCAGCCATACCACACACACCTGTGTTGGGAAAGACAGGGTGCCTGAGAGGCTTCAGTAAGAGTCACATTGCACATGAAGTTGTCCCACAAACTGTCAACTGTGAAAGCTCAGAGGAATTAACACTGCCCTCTCCCCAAACAGGAAACAGTCACATTTTTTAAAGGACTTCAGGAAGATAGCAAAGTCATCTGAATGGCACACACTGCTTTTAAAGAGGGTAATGAGGGTGAGGAGTGCTCAGTTTCGGGGCGGGGTAGGCCCCATATGTTCAGAGAACATCTGCCAGCCAGCCAGCCAGCCAGCCAGGGCAGGGGGCTCCCACGCCCCTGCACACAGCCCAGAACAAGTCCTTCATCTGTGACAGTGAACTTCTGTCAGCAGAGCAGCTGAGCAGCCGCTGTCCTCACTGGGCTTTGGGAATTATAGGGGTTCCTCTCCACCTGCAGGGAAGAAGGAGGAAGGTCACCCTGACTTGCTCCTGGTCCTTCCCAAACCCAGGTAGTGGCTCCCAGGAGTGCCTTCATTACGCCCTCCGTGCCTGGTTCCAGGCCTGCTGGCGAGTGCAGTGAGCCAAAGCCAGGGAAGTCCCCTGCCTCAGTGCTCTGCCTCCGTGGATTCTGTGGCACCCAGCAGCACTTGGGAACACCTGGGGCCTCCTCTCCCCAACCCGCCACCGCACAGTCACCTGGTGCTTGCTCATAAGGTTCCTTATTCCTGCCTGTGGGAAAGAACACAAAACAAGAGATGAGGTGAGTGGTGGGTAGAGGTGGGGGCCTGGGTCTCCACCTCCCCACCTCTCCCCTCTGGGCCATTTGCAAGGTCAGCCCAGCAGTCTCCCGGATGGTGGGATCCTCAGGGCCTCAGGGTGTGGGGCAGGGCCTTAATAGTAGCTGCTGCTCCTGGAACAGATTTAGCTGCAGGGATGGGGGCAGAACCTTCCTCCCTGTGGGCTGGACCGGCTGGAGGAGGGCCACCCACTTTGTTCCCATCCCACCTACCTTGAAGGTATCTCCTGGTCAAGATCACAACTCCCACCACGAGCAAGAAGAGGAGGGGGCAGGTAACCATGGCAATGAGTCCTTGACTAGAGGGCGGTTCTAAGGAAGGCAGAGAAAAGGGGGCAGCACCCCAGACAGTGAGACTATCTCTGAGGGCTCTGGGACCATCCCTGCCCTCATTGCCCCCTCCCAGCCAAGCCCAGTGCCTCACCCCAAGCCACGGTGAGCACGTGGTTCAGGCCAGAGTGCTGCACATGGCAGGTGTACGCAGCCTCCTCCCCGGCTGGCACCTGTACAGCAGCCCATGTCTGGTAGGTGCCGTCCCCGCTGGGGCGTGTCTCCACGTACTCAGTCTCCAGGGCCAGCTCCTTCTCACCCAGCCACCAGCTCAGTGAGATACCCTTCGGGTAGAAGCCCAGGGCCCAGCACCTCAGTGTGGCACCCCTGTCCTGGATTGGATGCCTTGTCACCTGCACTGTGGGTGGCTCTGCAGAGAGAGGTGGAGGGAGGAAGGCTGGTAAGTGGCCACTCTGCCTGACCCCCTGCTTGATCCAGGCTCCTCCAGCACCTTCCATGGTGGAGGACAGGGAGCAGATGGGGACTGGTCTCTCCTGGGGAGGCACTCAACCAGTATTGGAGGTAGGGATGACCATTGCCAACCGTTCCCAAGGGGCCTTGTCTTGGGAATTCCCACGGTGGCGATGTAACTTCCTGACCCCACCTCCAAGGGAGTCCTAGGTGGGGCTGTTGGGTTCTATACTGACACCCCCTTCCTTCCCGCAGACACCCTAGGGTTTTCTTAAGAGACTACAAATTTCCTGTGATCTGCACACAGCAGGGCCTGATGGGAGGCTGCTGACTGAAGTCAGGAATGATGCCCCTCGTCCCTCCCTCCCCTGAGAACAAGCACGGCTGTGAGCATGAGCTCTGGAGCTGGACAGCCGGGTTCGAAGCCGGCTCCACTCCTGCCCACGAGCCTCTGTCTCTCCAGGCCTGGTGGGGATCTGCCATTCCTTCCTCTCAGAGTGGTTCTGTAGGACAATCTAAGTGTGACTGTTTTGTGTGTCACCTCGACTGGGCTGTGGGCATGTCCCGGCATTTGGACAGTTTTCTGGGGGAGATTCACATTTGACTCTGTGGACTCAGGAAAGCAGCTGGAGATCTGAACAGGACAGAGAGGCTAATGGGGGGGAACGCCTCCTGCCTGATTGCTCAGCTGGGACAGGGGTCTCTTCCTGGGTCATGCACCTGCCAACACTTGGACTGGAACTGCACCATCAGCTCCCCCAGGTCTCCAGCTTGTCGACTGCAGATCTGGGAACTGCCAAGCCTCTGTAATTATGTGAGCCAGTTCCTTACATCACATCTCTTCCTCCCTTTATACATGCAATACAAACCCTGTTGCTTCTGTTTCTGCGGAGAACTGAGCAATGGACCAGGTGAAGGAGGTAGGAGAACCCCTGGTGCTGAATGATAGTTTAATGACACGGTGCTGTAGAGAGGCATCGGCCATTATTACCTTTCTCGTACTGGGCAAGAAACTGAGGCACAGAGAGGGCAAGTAACTTGCCCAAGGTCACACAGTCAGCAAATCCTGGAACCAGGATGTGTATCTGGAGGCTGTGCTCAGGTACCTGAGCTCTGCGCTCATACTCACCCGCATCTTCTCTTCCTGACACTGTCCTGACCTCCTCTGAGGAGTATCCTCTCTGCTCCCTCAGCTGACACACACCCCACTGCTCAGTCAGCAGACATGCACGGTGTGCCGTGCGCCCTGACCAGCCCCGTCCCCCGGCAGCCTGCGGCCTCCACTCGCACCCCAAGCACCCACCTTTCTCAGTGTCCAGCCCAGCCTTTACCTCACCAGCCCTGCTGGCCAGGGTCAAGAGCTTAGGGTGCACCCAGGTCTGGGGAGCGTGTTTACGGGCCTTGCATGCTGGGGGGGGGGGTAAAGGGCCTCAGCTTCCCCAGAAGTCCCCAGTGGTCTAGGAGTGGGGAAGGATACATTTCCCATGGAGCAGAACCACAGGATGTGAAACCCCAAAAGGACTTGATGAACCACCAAGTTTAACCCACTAGCTCTATGGATAAAGAAAAGGAGGCTGAGCCCTGGCCAGTGTGTCTTGGTTGGCATGTCAAGTTTGCTCCCTGGTCAGGGTGTGTACAGGAGACAGCTGGTCAATGTCTCTCTCCCCTCCCTCCCTTCCCCTCTGTCTAAAATCAATAAGCATGTCCTTGGGTGAAAAATTTTTTAAAAAGTCATCCTCTTTCTTTAAAATTGAAAAATATACATGAGGCTGAGTTGGGGGGGTTATTCCCCAGGACCACACTTGGACAGGGGACTTGAACTCCTCACCCACCTCACCTGGAGTGAGGGCCTGAGGTCTGGACTCTCTTCCTGCTCTGGTGATTGGCTGTCTTCCGAGGCCTCAGCTGGCTTACCTAAGCCAGGGTGACACAGTTTACCCCACCCCAGGCTTTTCTGTCAAATGGGACAGCTGTGGAGAAGGGGAGCATGGGGCCACCCTCTGCATTGCTGCAGGCTGGGCCTTACCTCTCCGGGTGAGGATCTGGCTTCCCAGCTCCAGATACCTGCGCAGAGAGGTGAGGCAGAGGCTTTCCAGGTAGGCCTTGTCATACTCCGCGTAGCAGCGCTCTGAATCCAACACGCGCTTGGTCTGCACGGCCACAGGCTCGGCTGACACCCAGCTCAGAGTCTCCAAGTCCAGGGACACATGGTCCTGCCCATCAAAGCCAAAATGCCAGAAGCTGCTGGAGAGGCTGTCCTCCTGGATATCACAGCCGAACATGCGCTGGGCACTGTGTATGCCTGTGCATGGGCGAGCAGGCTGTGGTGAGGGGGAGCTGCAGGGCCCAGGAGCCCACCACCCACAGGAGCCTCCAAAATGTGGAGGGGCGGGGTGTCAGCATTTTAGAAAATGCTCCTGAGGTCATTTTTATGAGCAGCCAGGACTGAGAAACTGGCTGGGCCTCTCCTGTGGGAAGAATACTCAATTTCACAATGAGACACACCAGTACTTTCTATGCTAGTGAGATAATTCGGTTGCTGATGGGTGTAAGATGCCTTCAATAGTAATGCAATTTTAGAAGGGCGCACCTGGCTGTTCACACTGATTCCAGGAGCCCTGGACTGAGGCACAGCCCTTCCCAGTCTTGGTCCTTTACATCTAGTTCTGGAGCCTTTGGGACCCCAAGGCTTTTAGTCATTTGGGAGTCTGGGCACAGCCAGAGAGAGCAGTATGAAGAAGCTGCCTCCACAGAGTGTGAACACAGCGCCGCAGTGGGTGTGAGCTCCGGCTGCTAAGCGAGGAGGCTGAGGCTGAGAGAAAGGCTCCTGTCCCTTGCTGACGTTGGGCAGAACAGGTGTCCTTATCTGGGTTCTGTCTCCTACCCTGCGTTGTTTGCCTATTTCAAGTTTATCTGGCTTCCCTCCCTTGTCTGGCACAGAGCATGCCCAGGGGTAGGTGTGACTTGATACACTTGGGAAGGGTAAAGAGTGAGGCTGGGAAAGGTGTGGAACCCTGGTGAGCCAACAGGGGACGCATCGTGAGCTCCCAGTGCCTTTGGATGCTTCCTGCACTGGCTTGTGGGCCAACTGCTGGAGTCGCAGCTGATGCTGAAGGCCCCTATGACTCCTGCTTGGCTGTGGGGTAGGAGACTGGGAAGAGCCATGCCTCAGGAGCGTGCCTGCACCCTCGGACAGGCTGGATGGCTGGACGGAGCAACCACTCTTCCCTAACGGAAGGTAGGGGGTAGGGGGCCCGCCTGACGCACCGCCACTCTGGTTGTAGTAGCTCATCACGATCCACAAGTTCACCTGCTGCACCTCCGCCCAGGCCCTGTACTTCTGGGTCTCTGTCTCCCAATACTGGGTGTCCATGGATGCCATCCATGGGGCCTGGGGCTCGGCCCTGCCCACACGACTGTCATACCGCATGAAGGGCTGGTCGTCCACGTAGCCTACAGCCAGAAACCAGGGGAGGCCAGGGCCCGGCTCCGACAGGGTGAGGTAGTGGTAGTGGAGGGAGTGCGTCCCTGTGAAAACAGACGAGTTGAGGCTCACACTCACTGCCAGGCTCTGCGCCAGGGGTTGGGGCGAAAGCCCACCCAGAGTTTTCGCTATCCTGAGTGAGAGCAAGAACTGGCAGTTTCATTTATAAAAACAGGGCATCTGAATGGTTTAACTAATCACTTACTCAGACATTGAGGCCAAGGTCCATACCCTCAGGCTTATGACTTGACTCCCAAACAGTTCCTCGGCTCCCCAGGGGGCGCCCCCTCACTCATACTTTACACTCCTAACTGGTGAGCTAGTAAGTGTGGTTGGTCATCTGGTTTCCCATCTCACAAAAGGTGCAATTTTTTTTAAAAGTTGTTTGTTTGGAAGCTTAATTTATGTGGATTGTTCATCCTCCAGAGAAGCCTATGAAGGTTGGCCAGTATCCTTTGCCTGACCCAGGACTGGCTGGCCCCTGGACTCCCTGCGGGCTGATCTCGTCCAAACACTGCTGCAGCCCGCTTCCCACCTGGTCTCCAAAGCACCAACTGATCCTCTCAACTCCACGCTGGAGAAGAAATCCACCCAGCAGTCAGTCCCAGCTCAAGCTATTAAAGCAAATGCTGTATCTTTAAAAAGTCAGCCTACCTTTCTCAGGGATAGCCGCAGCTCACTCCCTTAACCAACTTTTAAAGTTTTTGCTCAAATGCTACCTGATTCTTAGCCAGGTAGTCTTCCTAGCCCACCCATGGAAATATTTATACCCCTCAGGTCCCCCAGCACTTGGGTCTCTGAGTTATTCTCCAGCGCATTACCACCTTCTGGAGAATCTTTGCTCTTTACTTGTCTGTCTTACTGATAGTCTCCAAGAGCAGGGATTCCTGTAAGGATTGTTCTTTTGTTTTCCCAGCGCCTAGAACAGCTTTCTGCACACAGTAGGTGCTGCATGTTTGAATACACGAATGGGAAAGTTGAGTCAAACCCATCACAGAGCTGCCAGCCCCCAGTTCTGCTAGTCTCTGCCCAGACCCCCAACCTGAGGTTCCCTCTGTCCTCAGCACAGCCTCCCCTCTCTTCTCTGGGCCAGCTTCTCTCTTCCCTCCAGGAAGCCCTGCGATGCTGCTCCAAGATCCCTCACAGGGGGTCTCCATGTGCCCTGAGAATGTTGTGGGTTTCGTGAGGGGGGGGCAACACATCTGACTGTTACCGCTATTCCCACGGGCCTGAGGGAACATCGTGCTTGGCAGGCAGGAGCATTTCCTGTGTTTGTTGAAATGGACAAAAAGCCTGAATGGCAGTGAAAATAGTCACAGCTGTCATTTGGAAGTTACCCCTGTGTGCCCTGCCCTGGGCAGCTGCTTGTCCCCAAAGCCCTCTCTGTTATCCTGAGGCTAACCCGAGGACATCGGTGTGATTGGCCCCATTTTGCAGATGAGGTAACAGGCTCAGGGGAGACCCAATATAGCCCCCAAAGGCAAAGGCACTAGGAAGAGGGGAGCCAGATTCTCCCCCACACCTGCCACCTTCTAAGCTCAGGCAGGAAAGGGGCACTGTCTTCTCCCAGCTGGTGGAGCTTCCTGTGGAGGCAAGGGGTCAATGTTGAGTGTTGGAGTGAAAGGCTGACCAGCAGGCCCCCTGGGAAATGGCTGGCTTCCCTCTCAGGTTTCCTAGCAAACCAGAGTCCAGATCAGTGGTGGAGCTTCTGGGCTGGGGGCTGAGAACCCGTACACAGGCCTTGGGGGAACAGAGACCTTGCAGCAGCTCCACCTCCCTGGGCGTGGGGAAGGGCAAAGAGCCTGTGTCCTCGGGTGGCTGCTGGGCGTCTCAGGCCCTTGAGTTTCTGGTCCAGAAGCATAGTGTGCTGGGCTGAATACTGGCCCCTCAGATACCCCTGGAACTTGTGTACGTCGCCCTCTACGGTAACAGGGAGTTTGTAGGTGTAATTAAAGGCTCTTGAGATGGGGACATTATTCTGAGTTGTTTAGACAGGCCCTAAATGTGTCCTATAAAAGGGATACATTTTATAAAAGGGAGGCAGAAGGAGATGCCCTAGCGATCAGAGGACAAGGTAACATGAAGATGGAGCACAGAAAAATCAGGAAGCACTACAGGCCAAGGAATGCAGCCCGAGACTCTGGAAAGGGAAGGAACTGGATTCCTCCTTCCAGCCCTGCAGGCAGCCAGCCCTGCTCACACCACAGTGAAGCCCGTTTTGGAGTTGTGAGCTCTGTAACTAACTACAAGAGAATAAGTGTGTTTTGTCTTAAGCTGTCAGGTTGTGGTCATCCCTTATAGCAGGTACAGGAAATGAATATATGTAGCATTGAACTAAAGCCTGTTGTGTCCTGTGAGTTTGGGAGCCAGTTCACACCTGTGTGTGTGAAGGTCATGGCTGCTGCCCTGAGACAGAGAGAAGAGGATGCACAGTCTGGGAGGAAGGCTGTCCTTGGACAGCTGCAGTGAGTCCAGAGTCTCAGCCCCACCGAGACTGAAGTCTGACGGATGGGGAGTGTGGGGTGAAGGGATTCTGTAGGGTGAAGGGACCCTGGCATTCCACCATGGAAGCAAAGAGGACACAAAGGTGCTTACTGCTCTTCCCAGGTGTGGGAAGGCGACAAAGAGCAAGTGATCCCAAAGTCAGGCTTGGCTGGACAGGGAGCGACATGCACCAGGTTGTCCTGCTGGGGCACGATCTGCTCACTAGATAATGTGACTACAGCAGTTTCCCTTCTACATGGTCTTACTTTCTATGGGTTACCTGTGCTCAGCCACGGTCCGAAAGTACTGAATGGAAACTGCCAGAAATGAACAATTTGTAAGTTTCAAATTGCACGCCATCTGAGTGGTGTGATGAAATCTCCAGCCATCCCACTCCTCCTGCCCAGGACGTGAATCATCCCCTTGTCAGGCGGAGCCTCGATGTGTAAACTCGCTGTCTGCCCGTCACTTAGTAGCCCTCCCGGCTCTCAGGTTGGCTGCGGGGTTTGGCAGTGCCTGTGCTCAGGGGGCCTTTATTTTACTGCACAACGGCCCCAAAGCACTAGAGTAGTGATGCTGGCGATTTGGGCGTGCCCGTGAGGAGCCTTAACGTGCTTCCTTTCATGAAAAGATGAGAGTTCTTAATTTAAGGAAACAAGAAAATTGTGTGCTGAGGTTGGTAAGATCTATGGTAAGATGATAAGATTGAATCTTTGGTCTGTGAGATTGCCTAATTTATAAATTAAACTAACGTAGATAGCATGTATAGGAAAAACATAGTATACACAGGGTTCAGTACTATCAGTGCTATGGGCATCCACTGGGGATAGTGGAATGTGTCCCCTACGGATAAGGGGGCAGTATAGTATTTAATGCCAGCTGCTTTAATGGCCAGTTATTTTTGGTTAAAAACGAGGAACAGTCCATTAATGTATTATTTTTTTAATTTACAAAACATCTGGGTACTGAACTCTGTCCCAAGTACTTACAAGACTGGCTCATTTCACCCTCATAACAACTTTCTCGGAAAGGTACTATTGTACCCATCCAGGACAGACGGGGAACCTGAGCCACAGAGAAGCAAAGTCATTTGCCACGCCCACTATAGCAAAAGCAGGGCCAGATGGCACACACCTACCCTTTAGTGAACACACTTCTGGCTCAACCGTGTCCACCCTGGCAGCCCAGTGGGGACGTCCCCGCCGTCCCATTTGGTGAGGACTTTCTGACCAGCTACTGTGTATCTGGCCCTCTCCATGGCACTGGGGGTGCCGGCATAAGCAGAACAGCCCTCCACGCCTATTCTCAGCAAGCTTATGTGAATGTAGGATAGGCAAGATAAGTGAATAAACTGTACAACAGGCTGGACAGAAGGAAGTGCTGAAGGGAAAACAATAAAGCAGGTATATGAAATGGTAGGGAAGGGGTTTAAAAATTTTAGATAGAATGGTCAGGAATTGCCTTCCCGTACAGGAAACTTTGAGGAAGAGCCAGGCATGTAAGTCTGGGGGAGAGCCTTGCAGCAGGGGAAAGGCCCTGAGGCAAGGGGTGTTTGGGGCCTGCTGTGGTAACACAGGGGAACAAAGTGGTGCTGTGACTCTGTGTGGCACTAGGGACAAAGGGAAGGGCTGAATGCTGGATTCTTAGGCGTGTGCAGATGGTGTCTGGAATGGCCCTCCCTACCACGGAGCCCTGGTTCCTGGCCATGACTTCTGCTCTGCTCAGGACTGCTGCACCCGTGGCCTGGTCCCAGCACTGCATGCCCATCCCAGCAGTCGGGGCCCCTTTTGAGGACAAGCTCACAATTGTGGCCCTTCACTCAGCTGATTGCCAGGTACTGCCTCGCATGTGCCCAGCGAGGAGCCTGCCATCTCTCCTGCCTTGAAAATCCCACTGCTGTCTGCTCCACCTGCCAGATGGTCCTGGGGGCCCAGCCTGCTCCTTGGGGGGCCTCACACACTGCCTACATCCCTCTTTTGCTTCAGGAAGATGGTCAGAGCTGTGATTAGACTCCCACATGTTCACTGGGCTCAGGAGGGACCATCACGCCTTGGGCTCCAGCCTGGAATATAGCAGAAATTAGTTGTGGGAGCAACCACAAGGCCTCCTCGCTGGCTCTGGTGGTCCCAGGTGCCACCTCTGCCTGGCTGTAGTCAGTGTCAGGCACTGTGGGGCCACAGCAGGGGGAAGTGAGGGACATGTGGCTGCTGTGCAGGGGAATTTGGTCCTGCTGCAACATGGCTGAAGGAAGTGGCCACACACCCATTGCTGCCTCAAGGGCCTGCCTGTGCCATCGGCCCCTCACTGTCCCTCCCTGGTCACTGGGCCATGTGGCCAGCCCCTCCGTGGGCAGTCCTGCACCCCTGAAGCAGTCTCCGTCTTCCTCTGATTGTGGTGGGGAGGGAGGTGCCTGGTCCCTTCCCTCCCTCCACCCTAGGAGTCTCATTTTGCCTGTCCCATCTCGACACAATCCACATGGCACTGCTGCTCTCTAGCTTGTGGCCTTGAGGGAGGCAAGCCTTCCTCCACTGTCAGTGGGAGTCTCACAGCACTGGAACATTCCCTGAGGTAATGAACGTGAGGCACAAGTACAGGGGGCCCCCAGACATCACCTTCCCAGTCTCTCCATCCTGTTCAGAGGGGAGAGGCGGGCCTGGGAAGGAAGGAAGTGGGTGGGGAAAGCTGCCTGAGTGAGGAGCCCACTCTCCGGAGACCAGCCCAGCACCCCTAGGCAGCCTTGGGAGGCTCTGGCCTCTGTGTCCCCCAAACTAGCATAGTCCCCATTCCCCGAGCCAGTCCACCAGACTCCCGGACTGAAGACACGCCCTCCTGCAAGTGGGGGCTCCTGGACTCTGCCATCCTGTTGGACCAGCAGGTGGGCTGGGCCTTACCTCCAGGCCACGGCTTGTTTTCTGGCTTCAAGTTGGCCAGTTATGCCATCAAGACCTTTGCTAAGGAAGCTGGACGATCGACTATCACAGGCAGCGCCCAGGGGCTCTCTACAAGGGAGAAATGGAAAAGGGAAGTATGAATCTCCAGGCACAAATATCCTATACACCCTCGCGTCTGCCACGAGGAGAGAGGGTATGGAATGACAATTAGAGGCATGTTGGAAGCAAAGAAGGACCCGGGAGCCTGGCCTCAGGAGTCACCGGAAACTTCCCCAGTGCGCAGACACAAAGTCAACAGGGGCAGTGCTGGGCCTCAGTGCCAGGTGTGCTTCCTGAGCTTTTTAAGTACTGATGCATGGTGGGATTGGGGGGATTTTTTGTTGAATTTTTTTATTGTTCAGATGCATGGTGTTTTTTTACTTGCGTTTCCTATAAGGTGGGCCCTGACTGTTACCACTTAGAGGGGAGGGAAGGCAAGGCTGGGCTGCCCTTCTTCTCCCCCAGTTATCACCCAGCAACTAAATCTGACAACCTTGGATTTAGTTGTTCTGCAGGAAGGGGCACTGGACACTGGCAGATGTTGAAAGCTCCCAGGTGCTGCTCATGTGCTGCCAGGTGGGAGCCACGCCTCCTGGCCCCCGTGCACACCCCATCAGCACTGTCAGCCCTGACCTCTCCCCTTGTAGTATCACTGGTCTGAAAAACATCTACTGAGAACCTACCACTTGCCAGGCACAGAGCCAGCACGGGGTGGTGGTGTGGGGACAGAGATGACCTGAGGCAGACATGGCCCCAAGGGTGGTCAGGTCCAGCAGGGAGGGGGAACAATTAAACAATCAAACAACTAGCTCCAGTTGGAGCAGATGAGTGTGGCATGTAGGAGGTACCAAGTGCCGGGAATGCCGTGGGGACAGGAGGGTGCTGGGTCAGGGGTTTTATAGGCTGAGACCCAGAGGAAACCTCACCAGCTGTGAGTTTCCAGGCGGTGGAGTGGGTGAGGAAGAAAGAACATTCTAGGCTAGGGAGTCTTCAGTCATTACCCCCTGGACCAGCTGCATCAGCATCACCTGGGAACCTCCATTCTTAGGACCCAGCCCTGGTGAGTTAGAAACTCGGGAGGTAGGGCCCAGCTTTCTGCAGTGCACAAGCCTTCTGGGCGACTCTAAAGTTTGAAAACCACTGCTCCTGGCCGAAAGAACGAGCAAAGCAGGAATGCCCAGAGGAAGACCGAAAACTAAGGAAATCCGGGAAACTAAGGTCGAAGGCAGACTGAAAAATTTCAAGAAATGAGTCTGGGGAGGAAAGAAAGGGCTCTATGACCTCTCCGTGCCTCAGTTTCTCCATCATAAAGTGGGGGATAACAGGACTGTTGTAAGGGTTATAACTTAATATTGCAACATTATAACAAGTTAATACTGCAACATGCCTACAATTGTGTCTCATGTGAGGGGCTGCTGTTCAAAGCATCTGTCAAATTAGTCCACAGGAAAGGCCACGTTGGTGCAGGTCCCCAGGCCTGGAGTTCAGGGGCAAGGTCTGGGCCAGAGAAAGGACACAGCTGTGGTCAGCACGGAGGGAACCCTGAGCCCATGAGCCTGCCATGGAAGGGAGGGCAGGGGAAGCGCAATGAGAAGGGCCTGCAGAAGCACCTGAGGAGGAGGGAGGGAAGGGTAGAGGGAGACCACGGGAAGTCTCAGGGGTCCCAGCCCGTCAAGTCCCCTAGGACCTCTCAGTGAGGTACACTAGCCTCTGAGGTCCCTCCCTGAGCCCGCCCTTTGCATGGCTCCTTTCTCAGTGCCAGCAGCACACCCAGCCCGATGCTCGGGCTGACATCCGGGAGCCCCCCATCCTGGTCTCACCCCATGACCCCTAACTCCACCTTTGCCTTAGCAGCCAGCTCTGTAATTGCCCATCTTAATTATTCTGTCTCTAGTTGTCTTGGTCCCGAGGGCCACTGAGTACTTCTGCCTTCTTGCCCCTGTCATCCGGTCAGGACGCTCTGCCTTGGCTCTTGCCCAGGGGCAGCAGGGGCTCCAGAGTCAGGCCCCTGGGGTCCAAGTCCTAACCAGCCAGTGGGGCTTTGTGTGACCTTAGGTACTCTGAGCCTCGGTTTTCCTGTGTTTACCATGGAGATACACTGAATCAGTGTAGTGTGCCATGAGGTTCAGCTGCCTGCTGCAGCACTCCCAAGTCTGTCCCCTAAAAACCACTTCCTCACTACTCAGCTCCTGACTGGAAGGCGGGCATCCAGGACCACTGTGAAGGGGCCTGCCAGGGACATCTGGCTTTGTCCCCTCCATGTGCCGTCTCCCTCCTACAGTTTGGCTCACAACTGAGGTTACCCCTCCACTTCTTCCTGCCTCCTTGGCTTAGCGTCCCATCCCCCTGGCCAGCCCTGGCCCTTTCCCTGCACCAGGCTACAGGGCCTGTGCGATACACCCATGACCATGACTGCCATGCACAACGGGAACCACCTGTGTGCCCCACAGTGCACCAGGGAGGGGCTGTAAGAGGGGCATGGGTTCTCACCCTGGGGTCCGTGAATCCCCCAGGTTGTGTGAACCTGAGAACTCGAGTTCCAGATCCTCAACTCGAGGGAAAAAGAGAACCTCTTTCTTTTCACAGACTTCTGGCTGATTTCTAGCCTCTCCTCTCATGATGATAGAAGGCGCAATGCACAGCAGAGTCAGCAGAACCTGCGCTTTAGTTCCATACAAGCCACAGGTGTTTCTGAATCCCTGACAGCTGTTGGGGACACCTGGGAACATGCTTTCCCCTCCTCATTACTTCCATACAATGGGAGTTGTTAGCCCTGCTGCTGTGCATTATTAAATGGAACTTAGACGCACATATACTACATTTCACGAATTTATATTTCTAGGTTAAAAAATTTTAAATAATATTTATTTATCTTTAGAAGGGAAGGGAAGGAGAGAAGGAGAGAAATATCAATGTATGGTTGCTTCTGGTGTACCCTCTGCTGGGAACTGGTCCCTGCTGGGAACTGGCCTGCAACCCAGGCATGTGCCCTGACAGGGAATCGAACCTCCGTCTTTTGGTTCACAGGCCCGTGCTCAATCCACTGAGCTACACCAGCCAGAGCTTAGGTTAATTTTTTAATAGCTTTCTTGAAACATAATTAGGCCCCTTTGTATTCCTATGTATCTCATTTTATGTATTAATAACTTTGACATGACTTGTAAGGCATGAAAGGTTTAAGAACTCCGACTCCACGTCCCAGTGCTGCCACCTAGTGTCCTCTCTGGGCTGTATTTTAAATAGAGATTGTCAGTTGAGGATGTTCTGAGATGCAGAAATAGCTTTTTGTAAGTGAAGCTCTTACAACCGTCTGGCATAAAGGACTCCAGCTATTATTACTGCTACGGTGGTGTGCACTTCTCCACCGGTGCGAAGAAGCGCCGTGCACGCAGTGGTGCCCTTTCGGAGTGGAGGAGAAATCCAGGATGAGGTCAAGCTGGGTCAGCTCTGCAAAGAAAACTGAAACTGGGGAAGAAGGGAAATTCCACGGGGACTTCCGGGAAACCCGAGAGAGCCTCGCTGAGGCTCAGGGAGAGCCTCAGCGAAGGGCCGGAGCCCGGCCGAGCTGGAGGGGACGGGACGTGTTGGCCACCCTCACGTCCCTTCTCCAAGAAGCTTGCCCAGGTTCTTCCTGGGGGACCTGCCCTGGAAGCCGGGTGCCAGCAAAAGCAGTATCCTCACCCCTGCGATCGCCACCTGCTGGCCCCTCACCGGGATCTGAGGGCTGTAGGGGGAGATGGCAAACAGAAGCCCTGCCTGGGCTCAGCGTCCCCCCGCCCCAGATTCTGCTCTCCAAATCACCATGCCCCCCCCCAAGCCCGGAGGCGGCCTCTGCAGTCTCAGCCACTCTCTCCAACGCCTTCCTCCACCCCCATCCGCACTGCGCCCCATGATTTCTGTCACCATCACCTGCTGTGCTCTCCAGCACCAGTTCCAACAGGAGCAGCAGCGACGGGCACGCCAGGCTCCGCGGGGCCCCAGCCACAAGACTGGCGCGCTGCCTCCGGGCGCTGGTCCCAGCGGAGACCGTCTTCATCTCTGTGGCCGGTGGCCTTGAGTCCAATCTCCCAAACCGGTCCCCTGCCGAGAGGCCTGCGTTTCCGGGGCTGTTCAGCTGATTCCTGGCTGGGCCCCTGCCCCGCCCCGCCCGCCCGGCCCCGCCCAGGGCCCTCCCCTGCACTCTCCAAGCCCGCAGTCCGGCTGGGCTCCGGGGGTTCCTCAATGACCCACTTCGCTGGTCCTCGGAAGGAGAAAAACAGGACAAATGTGAAAGAAAACCAGTCGTGTTGATAATTATGAAATATAGCTTATATGCTTCTTCACTGCCTCATTACCCGGTGGTGGAGCCAAATAATGTCACTGTCTTTTGGGAAGTAGGGCAGGTGGCCACGGCAGGGTCCACTCATCCAACTGTGCTTTGCTAACTCCGTTCATCACGGGAAGAACGGCTATACTACAGCTAGAGCTTAGTGAAAACCAAGGTTATTTCTCCCATCCAGGTTCACAGTCCTCCTGAATTCTGACCAGGGACCCCATGTTCAGGACAGCAGTTTTTAGCTGGTCAGTTTCTCCTGTTTTGAAAATTCACTGGAGGCCCCGTCCCTATTGCCTGAAGGTGTTCCAGGGACATCAGCCAAACTCTCCCCTGTCCCTGGCTCCACTCTTCCTGATTTCCTGCTCAGACTGCCACATGATTTTTCCACTGTGTTTCCCATGGGGAGGTGAAGACTAAATCTTGTAGGTGCATCTGGGACTCTCAGGTCCCCAGGTCTTTCCCAGTGGGACAGCTTACCTTTCAGGACTAAGGGCCCAGGTGCAGAATACGGGGCCTGCTCCTGCTCCTTTGCTCACCAGCAAAGTCAAGTTGTTAAAATGAAATATTTTATAGCTCTCAGATCTCTGCCCACAAAGACTAAAGACAAGTCAGGACTTCCACAGGCTTCTACAACGTATGTCAGTCTTTGTAGAAAGAGCCTGGGGAAACCTGGACTCTCAGGGGACCTGATTTGATTGTCAAAACCGCTTGCTGAAGAAAGAAAGGGCCACTCCAACGCTGAGATGGAAAGCTGCGTTTATTATGTGCTTAAGCACCAGAGAGCTTGCAAGACAGTCTCTCTGAGCCAAGCTGGTGACCTGACAGAGGGTTTTGGGAATTACAGTCCTCAGGGACTAGGGGATTTTCAATTGAGAGTGTTTGCATTCAGCTTGAGGGTGGTGGCTGATGTGCAGGGGATGGTGACAGGGTGACTTTCAGAACTGCGGTCACTGGATGAATTGTCACTGATTGATGATCACGCTGGTTGAAAATGTCTGTGGTTTCTCCATGTCAGGTCTACGTAGTGACAGGCCTTATGGGAGCTATTAATTCTCACCTTTTACAACTTCTGGCTAAGGTGTCACCTGCCAGTAACAGGCTCCTTAGCTAAGGTCTTCACTACTCTGGCCTGAGACCTTTGCAAGGAGAAGGAAGCATGGAAGATGGCAAACAGCACATGTTGGTTCTAAGTGGTTGATGTCAGCTGGCCCAGGGAGCACAGCACCCTCCTGGGCGGGAGAGCTGGCTGCTACTGCCCATGAGCAGCAGGGAATGACTGCTCTGGGCTGGAGCCTGTGCCCTCTCCCCCACCTACACCTCCCAGGGTCTGCATAGCGCACCTGAGAAGGATGAGGCAGGAAAAGAAACACTAAAGGTTGTCCAGGTCCACAGTCAGGAGGTACACTCAGGGTGGGTGGGATGGAGAGAGAGAGAGGAGTGTGAGTGGACAACAGCTCCTGGCCAGGGAGGATTTGAAGCTATAGTGACCATGGTCCTGGCAAGCTCATATTGAGAAACCTGCTTTATGGCAGCAAACCCATCCCCAGATAGCAAGGGACATGGCTGGGACCTGGCAATCCTGGTGATGGACAGCCTTTCAAAGCTCCAAGGCCTCTTAGAAAGGCCAGCTCCCTATTGAAAGGCAAGTCTGGGGTCAGTGCTCCTGGCTGGAGAAAGGTCATGTTCTCCCCACTTCCGCCCTCAGTGCTGCTGCTGCTGCACCTCACACTCACTTCTAGCTATATGAAGCTAGCCAGTAGTTACAGATATGTGAAGTAACTTTTTGCATATCAGATATGCAGCTGGCCAACTATTGATATGCAAAATAACTCAGTGGCCCTGCTCCATGTGTCCCATCCCCCAGTTCAGACTTGTGGGGGTGAGGACATCCTATATTTTATAATTCCTGGACACTCCAAGTTCTAGACCCCATTTCAAATCATTGTCTGAGGGAGCCTTGGATGCACCCCATTACACCTTGATCGTTGAAGGCTTTCCTTGCAGAGAAGGTGCCTCCTTCCACAGGTCAGCTCCTCCGAGCAGAGAAGCAAGGGGATGGGGAGCAACTGCACTCTGTGCTCATCCCGCACCCTGGACTCTCCGGTCCCCGCCCGCCCCTCACTGTGCTCTAGGTCAAGCAGGGTGCAGGGCCTTCTCTTCTCAGCCCAGGGAGGGACGCATGTCCACAGGTACAGGTGTGGCTCTACCAAAAGCACGGGGGCGGCAGAGAGGACACCAGCATGGGAAGCAGCCCAGGAGTCCAGTTCCCGGGGCTCCTCAGACTCTAGCTGCCGCTCACCTAGCAGCGTGGGACTCGCTGCCTGGGCCTGGACGCCTGCCCAGCCCGCCCAGTCTCCACACACACGGACCCCTACATTCAGCAGGGGCCTGGTAAGGACACCCTGGTCTCCTGGCTGAGGAACCTGTCCTCTCCCTGACACTAGAGCCGCCATCCAGGGCCACTCAGAGGGCCGGGGACATCTAGGCCATTTCCATATTTCCAGGCTCTCAGTAAAATGCAAATGGAAAAGTGGTGAACATAGTGTTTTAAGAGTTATGGCATATGCACCACCCCTACCCCCACCAAAATCCAATTTAAAAATGGACAGAGGTCCTGAATAAACACTTCTCCAAAGAGGACATACGCACAGCCGACAGACATCCAGAAAGATGATCAACATCACTAATCATCACAGAAATGATGTCAGTTAAAACCACAATGAGGTATCACCTCACAACTGTCAGAATGGCTGTCATCAATTAAGTCAGCAAACGTGTTGGCGAGGGTGTGGAGAAATGGGAACCCTGGTACACTGCTGGTGGGAATGCGGATTGGTGCAGCCACTGTGGACAGCAGTATGGAGGGTCCTCAAAAAATTAAAAATGGAACTGCCTTATTGTTACCGAACAAGAGGCCCAAGGGGGGGGCAATATTTGGGCCCACCTAGGGACGCCAAAAACTGCTACAGAACAACAGGGGCCCCTCCCAAGGACAGAATACTAATATCTACTGGGCTCTTCTGTCTGCCGCCAATTGGAAAGATATCTCTCAATGCCAGAGATTTGTGAAAAGGAAAGGTTTATTTAGAGCTTTACAGACTTAAAAGTAGTGACCCAATGTCTCCATTAAAATATCAAAGTCCTTTAAGATAACCACAGACACCCACAGCACTCCCTTCTCCCACTGTCCCACTCTGGGTACCGTAAATCAGGAAAAGAGCACACATCTGCTTTTCCAGGCCGCTGGTACCATCAGCTGTGTCGCAATCCAGGCAGGATCTCTAATTAATCCAAAGTTATGTGGCACCCTCTCACGGTCCACTGGTAACAGTTCTTTGTACCATGTTCCAGTCACAGTCTCTCCTTTCCAGGCCAAGCAGCCAAAGGGGGCATCCCAAAGCCACGTGGGCCTCTTCTACCAAAGCTGCAGGGGTTTGCACTCCACCAAAAGCATGGGGCTTTCTTCTTCACCTGGCTGCAGGGATCTCCATTCTGGGAAAGCTTCATGGTCTTCTCTTTCACCTGGGAAAGGGGGTCTGCGCTCTGCCAAAACCACGTGGCTCCCTTTCACCTCGCCAAAAGGGGATCCTTACTCTGCTGAAACTGTGTGGCTCTCCCTTTCACCTGGCTGCAGGGGTGTGCCCTATGGCCAAAACTGCATGGTTCTCCCTTTCACCTTGGTAAGAGGGGGTTTTAACTTTTCTGAAACTGTGTGGCTCTTTCTCACATGACTGCAGGGGTCCTCACTCTGACCCAAACTGCATGATTCTCCTCTCAATGGCTGCCGCATCTGGGTTTAAATCTCCACACCCATCCTCCTTTGCAGCTCCATTTCCGAATCCTCCTATAATCAGTTACACCTGCCAGGACTCCCATATTATTGCAAGTTTACTGGGCTGCCATCATTAGTCTGGGCAGGCATGGCCCCATGGCATGGAGCCAATCAACTTCAAGCCTCTCACGCAGGCGCTGTAACTCAGGGGACCTGCCCCCAGGTACATCCTGGGTAGAAGCCACTCCCTTCTCCCTGGCTCAAAACTTGGCCACAGCTATTTAACATATCTGCGAAATCAGTTAAAAGTTAGATTGTTGCATCCGCCGTCACGAGGAACAGAAGTTCAGAGACTTTCAGAATTTTCAAGATGTTACTTTATTGGCCAAGTTTTACCTGCGCAGGGGCAGGCTCTCTGAGTGTCCGAGGACACTATGCTCAGGAGAGCTGCAGATGAGAGCCGCGCCCCGGCGCTTACAGCTATGTCCTTATATAGGGGTATGCAAGCAAGCTTTGAACAGGAGCAGATGCGGCTGTTAGCTAGTGGCTAGTTCTAAACAGCTGATTGGCTTATTAGGGAAATTGGCGGTTAGCCCTTTTAGGAAGTAAAAATTTCCCTGCTCCTGGTCAGCCTAACTTTAGTTCCTGGTCAGCCTAACTTTATCCGGGGCTCATTCAGGATTGTCCCTTTTCAACATCTGTTTTGGACCTCAACATAGATATGTTAAATAATTATTCCAGAGGTTAGCTGCAAAACTGTTGCTGTGCAAAACAGCTCTCAATGGCCCTGGCTCCATTTGTCCCTTCCCCCCTGGGAGGGGGTGGGTGAGGACATCTTAATATTTCCTGGACACCCTGAGCTCTGAACCCCATCCCAGATCCTTTTCTGGGGCCCCCCTCTTGGCTGTGCCCTGTTATTCTGGAATCATTATGATCCAGTTATTCCACT